CTTATTTATATATAACACTATGATTCTTTACTAACTTACTGTTGTCTGTGTCAGCTTTGTCAACTTAATAGTGCCTTGTTGCTTTTAACCTATTTGTATAATGTAGGCTAACTGTGTAGATATTTCAAAGAAAGACAAGAGGGGCACAAGACGATGGAGAACAAAAAGTGTCAGCAAAGATGCAAAAATACAGCTTCAGGTACTGAATTCATGATGTTTTCCTTTTCATCATACTTTTAGATTAACTTTTATATATGAACCAAATATATAAGGTAAGAGCAGGAAAGCAATTGATTCAATGTCCTGGCTCTTTTATAACTGATTATTTGAATTAATTCACATTTGGTTACTTAAATCTGAGAGACAACCATAAAAAAATGTATTGTTTTTACTTACACTGACATGGAAACATTGTCATCTAGAGAGAGAAGCAGAGACTGAATGCCAGTCATTCAGGATGCAAAGAAGGTTAGTGATGCTCTATTTAATGTGTACCTACTACAGAGAACAGCTGAGTTGGAGGCATAAAAATGAAATAGAAAATTAGAATGAAATATTTCACAAGGCTAGCCCTGCATGAGGGAATCTTATTAGTAAAAATTATTTCCTAAAGTTCTTAAAGGTGGAAAAAGCCAGTCTGTGAAGGAATTAATTAAATAACTCATTGTATGCAATTTCCCCTTTGTTATAACAAAAGTATAAGAAAATTGTGTGAGAGATTGAGTACTGACTGAATATTTCACGCTTATACTGCCATCAGCTTCATTATGCCTTATTTTGATCTGTTTAAAGCAATTGTGGCTTCTGGGGCGATCCCAAACCTCTCTTGCCGTAGCAATTTTCCAGCAACAGGTAACAAAGGCCCATGGATAGTGTATATCAGTCAAAACGCATTGTTTGCTGCCAAACAAATGCCTGTGTTAGAATAATAATTCACCCTAACAGCTTTTGCTACAATTAAGTACTTTGAAACTAACGTGAACTTCAAAAATCTTTAATTTGTCCTTTGAGTCACAATTAAGGAGTTTGTTTTGCCCATTTAGACTTGCTGGTCAAAGTGATGCAAAAGATAAAACAATGAAAACTAAATGATTGCAGTTGGTAACATGAACTGTTTCATTTCAGCTGTTAGACCTGGTAAACACAAAATGCCTCCTTAGTAAATATCTGAAAATGGGTTCAGTCATGTATTAATATTTGAGACTAAGATTTATATTGATTGATGACATTTCTCATTACTTTATCACAGGATCATTGTCATTTGGGGCTTTAGGTTTCCCCTGCTTTTTGACAGCACAATAGGAGCAAAAGCTCAGGGGGGAAAAATTAAAAAGGATGCTAAACCTGACTAAAGGGGAAGTGGAGCTAATAGGGCATGCTTGAATAAAGACGCTCATCTTGAATTAAGAAAACCCCTTTGCACAAACCGCTTGGGCTCTCTGAGTTCTGGAGTGAGAGAGAGAATCATAAAGCAGCAAGCACATAAGATGTATTCTCTTACAAACTCATGCAGTTGCAACCTTAATTCACTCTGAGTTGCTTGCATCCATTTTCCAAAATGGATAATATGCCATTACCAGCCAGAGAGCCATATGACAGCACATCTTTGAGTGAGTCACAAAGGGATCAGTGCAGATACATGTCTTTCTGCATGAAAGCCCTGAGACCTACTGGGGTAGCTCTAGACTTAATATGGCATCTGGGAAGGATTCTGTCTGTATCTTGGCACCATACACACCACGTAAAAAGCCTGTAAGAAGCAAGAGGCAGGTTCCCATTTCAGGTGCAGCCTTTGGCCACCATAGAGAATTCTGGGCTGAGGCTCCTACACAGTCTAGCATAGGAGCATGCTGAAGGTACAGCTAAGCTCAGGAAGAGTCCATTATACACACTGCTGAGACGATTTTGGCATGTTCTGAAAGCCATCCTTCCAGAGATGCTGTTGTAACTTGGAGCAGTCTCCCAGGCTGCTTGAGTTATGATGGGAGTGGTCTCAATCCCAAAATAGTTCAGAAGCGAGAGAACTGTAGCGGTGAAAATTTATAATTTAGAGATGCTCCCTAATTTAGAAAAGATGGGAACTGGGAGATGGCTCCTCAGGGAGTAGCAGTTAGAGGCAACAAAGGGTCTGTAGAGGTTGCTCCATAATCAAAGTTTCTTGTTTAGGTCTTCTCATTCATGTGTGTCTGTTTATTGAATGCAATGATAACTAGAGACACAGACTTGAGACAGTTCAGGATGTGCTTTTTGACGTGCATCTCTGGGAGGGATAGCACAGAATCTGACCTGTTTTGTGTAGGTCACACCCTCTTACTACCAAACTCAGCAACCCTTTTGCCCTATAGCACTGGAAACCAGCAGTGCTATACACACTCTCAGAGCATTACAGCATGTCTGTAATTACAGTGCGTCACAGCAGACTCAGTTAACAAATGTGCTGGAGCATGGTAATTATTGCATTCCAGCCAGCCTTCACATCTCATGTATCTGTGTCCTCATCACAATGGCGGTGGGGGTACCTTATCTAAAGCACATTCAAAGTGCAGGGATGCTGATGCACAAGATACTCTGGGCACTTTAATTAGAGTAGCTCTAAGAGCTGCTCAAATTAATACTTTCTGTCTTTTCTCTTCTTCCCCCCCCACCCCCCGGAGCATGTATATAGATGCCCCAGAGTTTTTAGGACACCTTTCTTCCTATTGTATATTGCAGTCAGAAGGGGAATAGAAGCTTTGTGCAGTCTGCTAGTTGGACAGTGAGTCTGTCCCCCTGCCCTATAGGGAAAGGTTCAGCTTTACGTGTTTTCATTAACTACATTTCCACGGTCTCCTTTTTCTGCTGGTTCCATTGTCTTGTAGAACTACCTGGGAAAGGGCTCATGTTTTCTTAGTTACAAAAATAAAATAAAAGCATTGATAGGAGCAGTAATTCTTTTCAGAGTGCTAACATACTAAACCTGTGATTTCAAATACCCTTATACCATTGTGTTTTCCTTTATAATAGCTGTTTGAAACCATTTGTATAGAATATTTGCATTTCAGGCAATGCTGCTTCTCTAAAGGGTCTGTGGCAGAGCTGGGATTAAAATGCAGGGGTTTTGGATTCACTATCCTCTGCCTGTCCTGCATGTGATTGTCTTAGACCTCATGGAGTCCGTTACAGACTCTCTTCTAGATTTGTGTCCTCTGGTCTGTTCCTGTAACTAACATTGCTTTAGTTGTGTTCTTGCTAACATTCTTTTCTGGAATGTGAACTCTTTTAAGTCTACATCAGAATAAATGTTTTCCCTGTGAAACAAGTCTTGTTGCTTGCTTTAGTTTCTATAAAGATATTTTTTATCAATTTAGGTATGAGTCCTAGAAATACTCTTCCATATGCTTAATTTAACTCACACAAATAGTTCAATTAAGTACAGTGAGAATGCTCCCATGAAAAAGTTAAGCATGTGTATAAGAGACTTCTTCAGCCTGACAAAGGGTTTTTAAACCCGAAAGCTTGCTAATTGTTTTTTTTTCCAAATATTTAAGTTGGTCTAATAAAAGATATTAGATTCACCCAAAGAACCTTGTCTGCCTTCTGAATGGAGGGCTTTAGTTTTGAATTGTTTAAATAACAGTGTTGTCTTGCAGGCCTTTGCTCTTCTCATGAGCACAGAGTCTATTCAGTGAGCCTGATTCTTTGAGAAAGGACTACTTGCCCTAAGAGAAAATTTTCAGAAACAGCAAATTTTCCCAAGATTTTCCAATGAAAAGTATCTGCAAGTGTTGTGGATTTTTTTAAGGCCAGTCGATGTATTTTTTTTTTTTTTACCCTTCTGGTAATGACACTTTTTATACAGAGAAGCTTGGTTCTGAGAATTCTTTTGTGTTCTGGGTAATTCTGTCATTCTCACAATGGGCTAAGCATTTTCCAAAGAAGAAAAGACTGAAGCTTTTACTGACCAGACTTCCATTCTTAGTGCTCTTAAGTTATTTTCTTAAGCTCAAATTAGCAAAATTGAAGGCTCGTTTTACCCATAATTATTTTAAAAATAGAAAAATATTCCTCTGTTTTGTAAGCAGTATTGTCTGGTAGAAGGTCAGCTTGTTATAGTGAAGCCATCTGGAACAATAGAGCCAAAATGAAACAAACCTTCCATCCACAAAGACTGCTGTATAACTCCTTCTAATGAGTGTTATAGTTACACAGATGCTACTTAGGGTATGATTTCATATACCGGTGTTACTTATTAATGTACTTTTGAGTCCATATGGAGTGTCATTCACATTTTAGTAGTGTCCCTCTGCATCCAAACATTGCATATGTTTCATGTATCTAAAACATTATATTATTAATTAAAAATGATAAGAGAGTATTTTGCTGGATGTAGAATAGACTCTCATATACAGGATAAGGATGCTGCTGTAGAATACAAAGAGTTTTGAAGTAACTCATATTACACAGCCTTTGTTATAACCTGTAAAAACTTGATTAGTTAAAGGAGAATGTATTTAATTTTGGGGTTTTGAAAAAATACGTTTGATACAGTTACTGCTGTATCAGAATTTGATTATAATATGTTTTCCCTCCCCTTTACTTCCTGACTGATAATTGGGATCCTCAGACACTTCTCCTTCTACACTTGACAATACTGCCACTAGTATCAACCAGATTTTTTAAAAAGCAGTTGTCTTTTCATGCACATCACTTGCTTTAACATACCAGTCTAGCTTGACTGGTCCAAGGAGTGGGAAACTTGAATTAATTCCTGAACTTGGGCATTCTGTAGTGTAAATGCATACAGCATTGTTTACAAACATTGAGCTGAACTATTATTTAGTTTATTTTGAATAAATTAAATTGTGTGTAGCTCTGAAACATTACGGTGCCCGAAAGTGAAGGAGGTATGGAGGAGTCCTCACACAGTTATTTATTAGCAGTATATACTCCTGTTTGCAGGAATTCAAGTTTTCTAACCTTATAAAATCCTGCAGTTACCTTCAAGTGATGACACTTTGATCAGACTTTAAGGAGAAAGACTTGTGATGGGTATGGAGACTCACCATTGTGTAAGGTTTTCTTGGCTCTGGTGCAGCATTATGACTCTTAAAAAGTAATTTAGAGTTGGTTAAATTGAGCATCTACATACATCTATGTGTTATCAGAACTGTCCAATTTCTGAGCAGCCAGGGTTTGCACGCCTTGGTGGCTGCATGCTTCATGGGCTGCAGTGACACAAACTATAGGCCATTTGGACCCCACTCCATGTGGGTGCCCCAGCCTCATACTCAGCTCCCCAGCTGTGGGGTCCTCCACCACACTGGGCTGTGCAGGAGCCCTAGGCCATGCTGTACCACCCTGCTCCCTGAGGCAGGGGCAGGAAGTAGAAGCCAGAAGAGAGAGGGGAAATCTGAAAACTTTGAAGAGGGATGGTGGGGAGCCAGGCCCAGGTGGGATCCTTGGGACTGCAAATTAACCCGTTGCAGGCTGCACGCTGTCCCAGGGCCACCACTTTAGAAGATAAAGTGACCCAACATTTAGTTCTCAGTTTGTGTTTCCTGCCATCCCATAGCATTCTTTTGTTTTGGTATCTCATAACTGCATTATGACTATGAAAAAAATCTATTGTTCACTTTTAGTAAATACATGGTAGTCTAATTCCTCCAGAGATAATGTCATGAATTAAATAGTTGTTTAAACCCCTGGCATACATGCATGAGAACATATGATAAATTCTCAGAATGTTTATGCCATTAAGCTCTTTACTGTTAAGAAACAGTGAAATTAAAATTCAGTTAAAGACTCTCCCTCTCCCTTCTCTGATCATCTTTCATCCTCCCACAAACCATCATCCCTTCCCTTCTCTTTTCTATTCCCTTCTCTTCTCACATTCACTGTCAGGAAGGGCCAGCGCCGAAGGGTCAGTTCAGCACAACACGACGCCGGCAGAGACTAGCAGCTGCAGTGGCTACAACAGTGAGTGGATTTAAAATCAAGAGAGAGTTTTAAAGATGGGAAGCTGGATAACTTGAATATGTAACAACAGTACTGAAAAGAGCACTTCCACCTCATAGAGATGTCCTTGTTACTCATGTTCGACTGGATCATTTGTGAGTGATGAGGGTCGTCCCTGATACATGAAAATAAATTCCAGGGGCTTGGGTCCCATCTCACTTAACAATGGTTATATATCAGTGTTACCCCATTGTATGAGGAAGGAGTAATTTCTTGCAAGGCAATTGTAAGTGATTTAGAAGTAGGCCTTTACCGTGTGTATATTTACAGCACATTCTATATATATGCATAGCATAAACAATAGAAAAGCAACCATAAAATTCAAGTCTGTAGTTCCATCAAGGGAGTTTGATAACAGCACACCTCAGGACAACAGAACTAAGATGGCTTGTATTATTTTGTTGTTGAGTTTAGTAATATAAAATTAGCTTTTTCATCTGAAACACTTTTTGTTTACATTTCATAATCCCAAAAAGTCATATTACTACCGCTAGTATGTATAATTGTAGTAGTTGTATGAGTGCTTGACATGAAATATGGGGCTGGGCAATCAAAATAAGAGCTACTAATTGAAAAACAGATATTATTTAGTAGAGTTAACATCCTGAGGCCAATTTTTAGCTTCAATCTCTAAAGTAAAGTATATCCTATTGAAGGGAAGCCTAAGACTAATCCACATGCAAAGTAGTATATGTATTGGTATATATTTGGTAAAAATAAAAACCTATTGATCCATATGTAGTAGGAATATGTAGCTAAATTAAAAAAGAAGGAAGTTGGTTTGCCAAAGGTTAAGACTTCACTTGGAAAATATACCTTTATCTAGCACAAGTATCAAGCTTCTTCCCCTGGCCAAAAAGCAGCCTAACTTCAAAACATACTGCTTCTTCCCTAGATTCCTCTGACATGGGCCTGAAAAATCACAAAAACAGCAGATAAACCAGTGCTTCTCATCTACATATTTAGGTTTACTCTCAAGAGCTTCTGCGCTCCATAAATAAGCATGGAAGCCTGAAGAGCAACAACTGATTCAAAGGCAAATTCTCAAAGCCAGTGTGAGTTGCAGAGTTACATATTTATTTACGTATTTATTCAATTTATACCATGTCCTATCCAAAAGGCTCAGAGCAGCTTACAGTGAACAAACAACCCATGGACAGGATTCCTCAAACAGCATTTCAAACCTGAGAGCTCCACCTCTCCTCCTCCTTCCCACAGCCCCACACAAGGAGACTCTTCCACCGATCCTGATTGCACTTCCCAACTGACACTTACATCCAGCTACAAGAAATCCTCCCCTGCCTCATCCTCAGGGGAGATTCCCCTCTACCCCCATTGTCCCCTCCAAACTCGCACCCCTTCTCCTACAGAAGAGCTGTGACTGTCTCCTCCCAATGCCCCCCAAAAACACACCTAACTCCCCCTCCTCCTTCCCCCTCCAAATACAACACAAAATTGCAAAGGACCCTAGCAAAAAAAATAAAAGAAAAACCTTGCATCACTGCTGAAGGGCAGTGTCAAAAGGCACCCTTAGGTGTCACCCACCCAGGGAGGTCTGCCAGTAGGTCCTTCTCCTTTGGGCTGCCAAGATGATGCCTGAGCTGGGCCCCAGATGGGAGGGAAATCTATCTGCTAATAAAAAAGAACACAGTTTGATTTCCTAATGTAGACAGTAATTGAAGGACTATTAAGCCTCCAATAAAATAGTTTACAAGCTCTTTGTTAAACCAGTTAACAGAGACTCACTTCAATGTCTCTGACTGGGCTCACTTGTAAACAAACCTGCAATATAAAGTGTCTTTACACATCATTAAGTGGATAAACTGCCACACCTAAGTTTCATTTCACATTGGTATCAGCAGTGTGAGTCCCCACTTAAGAAATATAACACATTCTGTAAAGAAGATTGAATACACTTAGAGGCCTCAGCATATAAGTGGGAGAACCTGCCTGTAAAGGCCTCTGGCGAAGACTGCCACTTGTTCTGCACACACTGAAGGGGTTGCTAATGCCCTTGACCACAATGGCTGGGGGTCTTGTCTCCTAGGTGTCCTGAGGGATTAGACACTCCCCCACTCTTCCTAAGAACAACTGTTCTCTATTGCAGCAGCGGTGGGAAGGCTCACGCTGTCTCCCTGAGTTTGACAAATACCACATTACATCTGTTAAATGCTGGTTACATGTGGAAATCACTATCTGAGCCAGGAACTTTTTATTACTTAAAATGAAAGCTTAGATTTTGCAGAAGCCAATGGTACACACTCAGGAAAGATTCCTGCTCTATGTATGAGTATTCCACTTGCAGATATTTTAAATAAGGACTAGAAGAGTGAGGAAAACTATAGGGGTCTGAATGGAGAATTAAAATGTATAAATAGTCAAGATGATAAGTTAATTATCAGTCAGAAATAGATAAAGATAAAAAATCCCAGGCAGGGAGCATGTGGTTTCTTAACCAGTGTTTCATAATCTTTTGGAAACTTGGGCAAATGAGAAATTCAGTTTAATTTTTGTTCAGCTGTTGGGGAAAGCAACTTGGAAACCCTGCTGAAACAGACAAATGTTTATGTCAGTCAACTGTTTCTTTACTTTTGACTTCTGCATAGTGTTCTCTAAAGCAGTCAGCAAAAGATTTACTTGTCTCTTTTAGAGTTTTCCTGCAAGGGGCATGACTGTAAATGTTTGTAAACATCTAAACACTAGGAGACATTTTAAAATGTCATTTACACACTTGAAATGCATTGTGTGGTAGTCAGCGAGGTTTTTTCTATGTAGTTTTTCAATCTGGTCATATTAAAAAAACAAGAAATAAATGATTTCCTCCACAGTGTGGGGTCTCAGCTTGAGGATTGAGAGGTCTAGTGAGATTGTAGCTACTCTGCTGCTCTTAACAGTTAGGTGGGCTGGAGATCCAGGGACTTGCTTTGCGTGCAACATGAGGTCATGGTGTGGAAATAGTTGAGAACCACTGCTCTGGGGCTCATATCTTTAATCTGCACCAGACTTGGGATCCACCACCGTGTGCTCTTGTCTATTTATTTTTTTTAACCACTAAGTGGCAAAGCCTACGGAATTAATTTGGGTTTTCGGTGTTATGTGGATGATAATGTCTGGTTGGCTAGAGCAATTCAAGGTTGACAGAGCTCCAAACTAGGAGAGTCTGGAAATATGTTCTAGGAGCATACAAATGAAAAGTATGGTAAAAGAAGCTTGACTGCCAGTCTGTTTGTAAAATAAGGTGGTTCTGACTGACTGTTGAGAAACATGTTATTAACATAGTACAGAATGGAAGAATGGTGAATATATTGTGGAAATGGTAGTGATGAGAATTGCTGGGGAAAGGAACTTATTTATTCTGTGCCTCCTTGTTAGAAAGGAAATTGTTCATTATGTAAATATGAAAACTCTTCTTTGCATAATTAAAACTTAGAATGTACAAAAGGAACTAAGAAGACAAGTAAATTTACAATAAACAACTGCTTTAATGCCATTGTTTTGCACAAAGTATGAAAGGGTAGGGTGCAATGTGTACTGGACATTGGAATGAGATGTGATAAAATGAAGATTTTTAAGGGCACCAGCGAGTAAGAAACATAAGAAACACAAAACGTATAGTAAATGGACACAGTTCTCCAAACTGAAATAACTGTTCTCTGACCTATTATTAATGTTCATGACAATTTAACTATTATGTTAAGAAAATCTATAGTAATATGACTTTATGTTATCTGCTGCTCTATAGGAGGCCTCAAAAAGCATATAATTTATATTTAGAGCCCATTTTTCATTCTTGGGTATACAAATTAGTGTAAATTGTCAACCTCTGAATTTGAATACTTAAAACAACTAAAATTGAAATGTAAGTGTTTAAAACCTGAGGATCAAAATGTTGTTCTGAATGCCTTAACTTTGACACAGGTCTGAAAATTGGGCTTCTGGTCTCCTATGTTTATTTGTGTGCATATGTAAATAATATAAAAAGTATACTCTGTATGTATGCATAGTACATATGACAAAAGTGATATATGTGTATATACTTTACCATATAATACACATGTATATGTACATTCAATATAAAATATGCATAAATAGATGTTCTGTATATGCAAAAAATATAGAGGAAATATGAAGAGTGAAAACATATGAGAAAAAATGTACTGCTTTTAATTTGTTTGATCCAAGTGGTTTAATGTGACCCAGTAAAATTTGAGTACAGTGGATGTACTTGGTAAGTGAAAGTCAGTTTTTTGTCAAAAAGAACATTCAAACACAAGAAGAGTCTATATGGTTATCCATCTCATGTGATATCCAGATAAATTATACAGTGAATTTCAATAACCAGAATATTAATCACAAAGTTTGGAAAATCTACAGATGGTTTTCGTGTGGGAATATTGAGCCTGATTTTGCCGACTTCATGGAGAAACTAATACACTTTAAAATATTGATTCTGTAACCATTAAAACATACATTATATTATGTGTTTTGATACTCTGTTAAGTAGAGTATCAGGTTTCAATTTTCTGGTGTTTTGCAAATCTTATAAAATACTATATTATTATAAATGCTCTAATTGGAGCTAAAGTGCACCTCTGTCTCACTTCCTCTTTCTCTCTCTCTCTCTCTCTCTTTCTCTCGTTAGCTGTCAGCCCTTTGATAAGCTATCATTTGTGTTTTTATTAAAATTTTCAAAAGACGGGATTTTATACCAATGACTAAGACTAGAGACTCCAAAAGATAATTCCCATTACAATTTTTAAAAAATGTATCACGTATGTGATAAACGTATGCTTTTTTCTGTGCAGAAATTTTCTATCTGGTTCCTGTTTTGTGTGGAATGTGAATATTATTATAATAGTATTAATATGAGTGGATATACTGTATTTTATCACAGCACCTTTTCCCCAAAATTTTGCTGTTGGAAATTGGGATGCACATTATAAGCAAGGAAATACAGTACTAGCAGTTTTTGCCTCTTCCAGGGGAGAACGAAAGTAACACTGGTGTTGCATGTGAGCTTCCTAGCTCTAGCTGTGGACAATCTCTCTTTCCCCTCATCATGCAGCAGAAGCTGCTACAGTTACTTACTGTTACTTACCAGTAATTAAAAAAAATCTTTTTTTAAATTTAATTCTGCCTTTCAAAACAAGGCATGTATCTTATTTGGGGGCATTTTGTACACAAGAACATTTGATAGTCCTATACAATAGCTATTTATTTCTTGGTTGCTTCTCATTGTAGGTCCCTTTCAGTGCTACAATGTCACCAGTTCGCCTGCATTCGTCCAATCCCAACCTTTGTGCAGACATTGAATTTCAGACTCCCCCGAGCCATGTAGCTGACCCCCTGGAATGTTCCACAGATTACATCAAACTTCAAGAAGAGTTTTGCCTTATGGCACAGAAAGGTAAATAGAAATGTGGGCTCTTTATAAGTCTTTGCTACATCCAAGGTGGCCAGACCCAGAGATTTTATTTGGATCAGGCAGATACCTAAGATTCTTTTAACTATAGTTGTTTAGGATGAAAATTATACATGTTTATTTTTTTTAGATATTTTTATGCAGCTGGTACATATGTAATATATGAATTCTGTTTGACTGAAAATTGTGCATGTCTTTTGAACCATGTTTGGACTGTATTTGCAGTAGGGTTGGAGTGTTGTTATAGCCCCTGTGGTCCCAGGAATATCTTTTATTGGACCAACTGTATAGTGGGAAGAGATGTTAGGCTTTCAGGGATCAAGTGCCGTTCCCTCAGGTCTGGCAAAGAAATAGGAACAGCCTGGACTAAATATCAGATTAAAAATAGCTTTTGTTTAAACTCCATGGATATATGAAAAGTCACTTAAAACTAAATTGGTATAAAGAGAAGTTATCAGAAATAGCTTTAAACAAGAGAAGTACAGTTAAATAAGTGACCTCATTATGCAAAAGAATAAGACCAAAAGGGAAAAGGGTTGTTATTACCTGTGGAGTACAGGGCAAGCATTTTTTCCCATGTAATATAAACCACCTATATTTTTCCCCAAGGATAAATCAGTTCATTGACACAAATGACCTTGTAATAGTTTTGTATATCAAGATTAGTGGAGTTCATAAAGGGTCCTACTACATGTATAATTTTTAAGATAAGCAATGGACTTCAGAAATTACAGTAGATTGAAACCAGTGAATAATTGGCATTGTAGAATGACAAATAATTGTTTGTTTGTTTTTAAGACACTTTTTAAATCTTGAAATATAAAATGAAGGAGCTAACTTTGAGACTAATAAACCAGACTGCAATATGGACAAATTGTTGCATTTCTTAGTTAAATGCAAATAATTTCCCCTGTATTTCCCAGCCCTTGTGAGGTATTTGCTGATGCTGATGCATGCAATCTTGTGACTATATCACACAAGTGTGGTGGCCATTTTTCTGCTGGTCTTTGATAACAACATATAGTTTACAGTGTTTTTTCGATTATATTTGTGTGCTTCTGTCTGCAGTGTTTATACTCAATACTGAATGTTTTACGACTGAATGATAATCCTAGTGCATCAAAGAAGAGTTAGCCAGACTAAGGCAGGAGCAGATGCCAGCCTGGGGACATTCCAGTTTTGAAAAAAACTATTTGGAAAAGGAAATGGGATGTTAAGTTTGCTTGAAAACCAGAGCCCAAACGTACTCCCATTATATTTCTCTCTCTTTCATCAAACAGAGAGCAAAACTGTCTTAAACTGCCATGTTCAAGAAAGTGATTATGTTAAAATAACATAATCTTTCATACGTGGTTTCTTCAGTGCCTTTGAGCCATATTTAACTATGACAACAAAAATACGAGTTTGTTACCATCAGCAGCCAGGAACCATTTACATGCCTGGCCAGTTATCGGGATTGCCTTTTGCTTTCTACAATACTGTTTTGCTAAGTTCTCCTTCAGGTACATGTATATTGCATTGTGGGTGTTTGTACACCTTAAACTCTTGCAGGTTTTGTTGCCCTAGCAGTACCTGTATAGCACAAACACACCCTGTCTCTGTGTCCTCCAGCAGTACTACTTTCCTTTCCTTAGTTCCTGTCAGTTAACCTTGCCTGAGAGGGAGTTTCTGATCTAGACTCAGTGCTTGACCAATAGAACTTTAAAAATATGGGTTTTTGTCTTCATCTTCCCTTTTTTCCCTTTGATTTTGTCTCTTCACAGTTTGTGGCTTACTTTTTTTTCTTGTTTTAGTTTCTGATAGTTTTTCACCAGCACCTGAGACTCCCTTGGACAGGGCAACATGTTTTTTCAGCTGAGCGAGTCTCCATTTTTCTCTTCACTCCGATCACACTTCTCTCCTCAGCACCGGCATGCCTTCTCCCAAGTTGACTAGTTCCAAGTTGTGTCACTCCTGCAGTAGGGAAATGCCTACCATGATTGGCTTGCAAAGTGCCTTTTTTTCCTCCTCTGAAGGAGTCTCAAATAATTTACTTTGCAGGTCACAACAGACTGAGACTAGGCTTCAGGCGTGCCTCCTGAGTAATTTATGAGGTTTGTCTCAGATGCTAGGGGATAGGACTTGGCTAAGTACAGACCTCTGGGGGCACAAGTCCTTTTCAGGAAGACTATCCTGATCAGTGAGCCAAAAAAGTCCTCCTCTGAGCCCATGGAGATCCCCATCCTGGTGTCCTTTGGATAAAAGCTCATCACTCTTCTTATTCCTTCAGCTCAAAGGCTATATGGGATCTCTTTGTGGATCTCAGTGAAGCTTGGAAGTTTACCAAAACTAGTCTTAGCATCCATCACCTAGTACACTGTCAGCTCCGAGGAGTGTACCTGTTGGGCCTTCACAATACCTGAGTGGACAGTCTCAACCAGCACATCTCTACACCATGGATGGGAAATCAAGGACTCAGCCTAGGTTCATTTAGGAATTGATTCTTTTTTACCGTAGATATCAACAAGTGCTGGCTTTTTTGCTGTGTGGAAAGGCTCAGACTTGACTCACTGTCCAATGCTGCCTTTTTTCTATGGTCAGGGAAACTTTTATATACATTCATCTCTGTCCTGCTCCATATTTTGAGTGTGGGATAAGGTAAGTTAGGACTGCATACCTGTTCTATGGGCCCCAGGCTGACTGAGGCAGTTCTGGTTTCTGGACCTTTTTTGCATGTCACTGAGGAAACCTTGGACTCCGATGCTGCTCCTGGACCTATTTTCACAGCATGAGGGAAGGACCCTCCATCTTGCAGCATGGATTCTGGCAGGCTCTGGATGACAATGTGGACCTGCTCCACTCCTTATCACAGATATTCTCTGGAAAGATTCTGCTAGGTTAGCAGAGCTCAATCTTTTTCTCCAGTGGATCGGCTGGAAGGCTAGATCCTGCTGGTGGTCCCAATCCAGCACTGGGGATGGTGTGGTGGGCACCATCTGGCCCTGCAGAGGGGTGCGGGGGTTAACCCAGGTGCAACCCAACCCCAGAGGAAAAGGGGATCTGGCCCTGCAGAGGGGGAAGGGGACCTGGTCAACCCCCCAAATTGTCCCTGTAGGGGAGATAGGGAGTATGGCCTGACCCCAACCTGGTCCTGCCAGGGGTGGGGGAGGGCATGGCCTGGCCCCTATCCACATGCAGGGAAAGGGGTGTGGCACAACTGCGACCAGCAGTGTAGAACTTGGGATTTGGAAATTTGGTGGGGGGAAGGTGACTGTATAAGTGGTCACCACTCTCCTGCTGTCAAATTTCCTGCTTCATGGGGAGTCCCATGGGCCAGATGTGATGGGTCTGCAGGTTGCATTTGACCCATGGGTCAGAAGTTGAGCACACTGTACTAGATGAACTTTTCACACTTGTTTTTAGCTTGGTTTTTCTTAGGGTTTCTCCATTTCAGCTATCTTCAGCCATCTCTACAGGGTAAAGTTACTATACCCAGCAGCTGCCCTCTCAAACACATTGCACTGCTCTGCATAGGCTGCCTCCCTCTAACCATGTCTTCCCAGTGTTGTGTGGGGTTAATTAGGGTCAGTTAGTCCAGCTGTGGCACTGCATGGGTGCAGTTACATTGCTTCTGATTTAGGAGGCAACCTATGCAGAAGAATACAGCATGCTTGAGGATACCACTGCTGGGCATAGCGAGTTTACAGTGTAGGCATGTCCTACTTTCATCTGCCAGAACTAAAGTGTAGCTATCTGTCCCTTGTCTCTGTCAAAGTGCACTTGACTGCTGTCTCAGCTCACCATCCACGTAGGGAGGTTAAATGGTTTCCTCCCACCCAGCTGTGCTGAACTTCCTGGCCAATATATTTCTTCTAGTGGGAGGTCTTGGGCCCTTGATGGAACCTAAACGTTGTCCTTCCAGCCCTGTGGGCCCATCGCTTAAGTGTGCTGACTACTGTCCATGAGACAGTAGGTCTATCCATGAAGACAGCTGTCTTTTACTTGCGAGAAGGGTGGATGAGATCCAGATACTCATGGCAGATCATTCCTACCCTTTGTTTCCTTCAAACTTGTCTTCCAGATGTACTCTAACTTTCCATTCATGATTTTCATGGAATTTCACTTCCATCCATAGATTCATGTACCAGTTTTCTTCCAAAAGCTCGCTCCCTAAGAACGGAGGCATCTGTTCATACTTTGGATGTGGACATGGATCTGATCTTTTACCTGAACAAAACTAAGCCTTTCCAGAAATTTCACCATAACTGAGAGATGGAAGGACACAACCATTTCTACCCCAAGGCGATCTTAATGTATCTTGTACTGCTTCAGGGTGTGCTGTGAAATTAACAAGCTGGACCCACAGTTGAGCATATGTCTCAGATGAGTTCTGTGGTTTCCCTATGGAATGTTTCTATTCCTGACATTTGCAAGGCAACTGAGCTCCATGTACATGTTAATCAAGTATTATGCCATCCAGGAATCTTCCAGAGCAGGGGTTGCATTTGTCAGAGTCCACCAGTTATTATTTACAAAGCACTCTAAGATCCACTTTACTGGGGACTGGGCATCGCATGTATGGACAAGCACTTGAAGGAGAAAGAGAAGTTACTAGTAACTGGAATTCTTTGAGATGTGTTGTCCATATATACATTCCTCATCCTGATTTCCTTCCCCTTTTCCTCAGAGTCCTTGAAAGTCTGGGATTCTGTGGTTGAGAGGAAACTGTGGAGTAGGAAACATGCTCTGTCCTTTGTCTGAAGCATAGAACATGAGAAGAGGCAGGATTCATTCATACTATTTGAGTACTGTTTGGGATAGCACATCTCAGAGAACTCTAGTTATTGGAAGTAGACTCTTCCTCATTGTAGAGTTGTTATTACTAGTGCTAATATAAGAGTCATGAAGAATGGTGTGATTTCCAATTTCACATTGAATTTGCAAGTGAAAATCTTTTTTTCATTTACATGTTGGAAAAAAGCAGAGCTAGAGGTCACTGGGAAGGA